CAAGTTCTCTGATTAAAATAAAATTTATCTTACAACTATTCTGTGTAGGGTACTTTAGCATGTGTGCTTTATAACTCACCATAGACAACATTTGAAGTTGCAGTAAATGTTTATGAAAAAGTGAACACATTTTTTTCATGGTGTGGTATATTTGACTTCTAAATCTCTCCTCACTCCCTTCCCAGGAAATGATACTCTTTAAATTACCAAAAAAAAATTCTAAACAGATTTATAGTGAGATAAGCCTGTGTGGGTTGAGTATCTACCTCTAAGTTTTGTTTGCATAAATATCCTTGATATGTAATAATTACAGATCTTCCCTGGCTGTTCACCTTTAATGTGAAGTTTTATCCTCCTGATCCTTCTCAGTTGACTGAAGATATCACCAGGTACTTCACATTTGTTTGTATTTTAAGAATAAACTTACTCAGAACTGTTACTTAGTTTATGTTAACTTTTATATTTTAGAAGTTAAATTTTAGAAATGTTTCATTGGAAATGGGTGCTCTCAAATAGTTTGAAATGTTGCTTGCTAAAACAAAACAAAAAAATGACACTCACTTTTCTCAATTTTTCATTTATATTCAAATATATTAGTTTTAAATATTATATTGTCAATACTGGTTTCTATGTTATATTTTAAAAAATAATTGTTACTAAATATTTCAGTTTTTAATAATAGGATATCATTATTATCTAACATACCTGTTGCTGTGTAGCTGTCTCATATTACAAAGACAATTTAAGGTTTGTAAAATGAAATTTTAAATGTAAATTAAAATGTGAATTGTCTCCCACCAAAAGCAGAACAAACAATAAAAGAAAATCAGCAAACAAACTTATTTTGTTTGCTTCCTTAAGGAAGGGCTTCTTTAAGCATTTCTTATTTCCATCCCCTGGTGGGCTGTCTGAGCTGAAGGAATGTAGGTGGGAATGGCTAGCAAAGGGTTCACTTGAGGAAGAAGAGCCATTCATGAAAACAGAGTGTCTGAGGATTTGACTGGTAGGTGGCTCAAGGAGGTTGTGAGTCAGCAAGTGCCCCTATGCCGTAGCCCTGTTAAACTGGAGACCAGTGAGTGGATGTCTTAGCTTTAGTGAGAAAAGGGATGTAGAATAATTTTTCCAAAATGTGAAACAAGATTTTTATGGCCAGTGAAAACTGTGCTGCAATGTGAGTACTTTTCAGAAAGCGCGAGCACCTTAGGAAAAGAGCCTGCCCAACTGTGGCTGCTGTGCCTGGTGGGCTACTAGACTAAGTGTCTCTGCTAAGTTTGTTTCTGGGTAAGACCAGTTTGTGTAGATGACGCGTGAAGAGTGTCTTATCCATGTATTAACTAGGGATGATGAGGGTTTCTTTCTGTTGCTCCTTGTAGCTGAATATAGGAGTCCTGACTAAACTCTGATCGAATTAGCATCAACTAGTAAATAATGAATAGTAGCTTTTTTATCTGCACAGTGAGCAGCTTGCAGCATAAAACCTGTCAGGCTGGCATTTGTAGGATACAGAGCTTCACCACAGGAGTGCCTTTGAACAAGGGCTTTCTGACCCAACGCACCCTCTCTGTACATAAACTCCTCTGTGTAGTAATTTGTTTGGGGGATTATGATTCTTTGGTGATTACAACTTCATAGCATGGGTAAGTACTTTAGGCTCTTCTTTTTCCCTCTCCTCCTCCTCCTCCTGTTTCCTTCCTCCCTCCTCCCTTTTCTTTTGTGGGGGCTTGTCTTATATACAAGGCTTAAACCTGTCCTTGGTGGGAAGAATATATAGTCCGAATTGAGTAGGGCCTCAGTGGTTTAGCTTGAGACCAGCCTCCTGCTTGTACTTATAGGCGAGTAGACTAAGTGTCATGATTAAAACTTTCATCAAGATTTAAGTGAACATTTAGAAGCTGTGGTAGGATTTGAGCAGAGCAATGATACCATTCAGCACAGTGATTGAAGAATGTGTTTTTCTGGCTGGGTGAGGAAGGTAGGATTGGGAAATGTGGAAGCCCTGAAGCTTTAGTTTGCAGCGTCTAGAGCATAAACTGTGCAAGTAGAGGGAAGTACCAGTGAGAAAAGATTTTCCTAGAACGCAGAATCTTTGTGCTGGGTCATAAAAGTGTAGCAAAATGTGGAGAACCTAGCTCTGTTAGCTGATTATATTTACAGAACTTGAGGACAGCCAGGATTTATTGCTTTAAAGCAAGTTTTCTAAAATGAGACATACTCATGTTGTTTTAGAACAGCGATTCTCAACCTGTGGGTTGCAACCCCTTTGGGGGTCGAACGACCCTTTCACACGGGTTGCAGCAAAATGGTGGTTATGAAGTAGCAACAAAAATAATGTTATGGTTGGGGGGGGCCACACCACCACATGGGGAACTGTATTAGAGAGTCGCGGCATTAGGAAGGTTGAGAAGCACTGGTCTAGAAGATAAAGAGGCATTTGTAGTGTCAGGTGTCGTCAACTTGGGTCTGACTCAGCAACCCTTCAACAGCAGGCCTGGGCCAACCTACAGTCAGTCGTCTGTTTAAGCCAGTTGCTTCAGCCGTTGTGTTAGTTCATCTGGTTGAGGGCTTGCTTTTTCTTTCTCTTTTGTTGAACATATACTGTACCAGCCATGAGGTCCTTCTCCACGGACTGGTCCCTCTTGATAGCATGTCCAGACATAAAATCCTTTTCAAAAAGAGAGCTCCTTGCAATACGTACAAATACCCAGAACGCAGTGACAATGATAAGTCTTTCATCACCCAGAAGATAACTGAGCACTTGCCATGTACACAGTACTGTGATAATTGCAGAATTGCAGTGATGGCAGATAGAGCCCCTGCTCTGCCTGATGGTGATCCAAGTCTGAGAGAATTGGGTGATGGCTGCAAACATGTGCTGGTGCCCCACAAGGGAAGTCTGCCCTTGAAACCAGCATTCCCCTGGAAGGTGGTGGGTAGAGAGGAAGAGGAGAAGGAGCCCTGAACACCAGGCTGTCAGCACTGTTCCACAAGAAGACAGTGGCAGGCTGCCAGTAGTAGGAAGGGCAACCTTTGCAAGATCCTCAAGAGTGAGGGCATTTTTACTGTAGAGAAGAGCAGTAGTAATGTTAACAAGTGCTGAAAATTAAGAGTAGAGAGTAGGTTTTATAACACACAAAAGGAGTGGAAAGCAGAGCAGAAAAATCCTCATGGAATATATATAAATCACATGTTTCCACAGTTTTACCAGGAAGTAGAAAATAGAAATGCTTTTATATCCTCATGTAGCAGGCTACTTGGAACATTAAAAAATATAAGTAAATGATATTAGCTAATAATTTTATTAGTAATGTGGTATTGTATTTATATAACTAAATTTTCTTCTCCTACTGAGTAGATTTGCTCTTCCATTTTACCATACCAAATTTAATGCCACCAAATCCATTCTGACTGTCAGTCAGTGACCCTGTAGGACAGAAGAGAGGCTGTTAATCTTTATGGAAATAGAAAGCCTCCTCTTTTCCTTGGCGAGCCACTGCTGGTGGTTTCAAGCTGCTGCATGTGCCCTACGTGTAGTGATCACGCCACCAGGGCTCTTCCTCCCCTTTGACAGGTGAGGAATTGCCCTTCGGGCTCTGACGCCTTGCCTTTTCTACTTCTCTAGATGGGGTTAAGTGGGTAAGTAAAGGCTTCCAACAGCTGAGATTATGGGAAAAACAAAACCAAACCCAAAAAACCTTCCTTTTGCTGTGGAGACAATTCTGGCTCATATATAGACCCTGTAGGACTAGACTGTAATCTTTACAGAGATCAGACTGCCACAAGTCTCGGGAGTTGAGACTGGTGGGTTCTAGTCATCACCCTCTCAGTTAGCATCCGAGTGTTTTGATCCTGTGCCCACACGGCTCCCTCCCTAGGTTACTTAGAACAGTATTTATGAAAGATGTCGCAGGAAACGAAGAAATTGGTATGAAGAAGTGAGTATAGGTGCCCTTCGCTTTTCTTGCAACTGTTTAAGACACCATCATTTTTAATTTAAGGAATTTTTTTCTTCTTTTCTGAGGGGCATGCTAGCATTCACTAGTCTTAACTGCAATTAGAGTTTAATGGATTGGAATGTTAATGTTTGGACACAAAGTTCTTTGCTGCAATTGAAATAACAGACCAGGTATTACCAGAACAGCAGTTCAGAATTTCAGTTCTTTTAGCTTCTGAACTCATTTCTTTAGAGAAGTCACACCCACAGCGGTGTGAGGACAAGGGGGTTGTCTTCTGGGGGAAGACTACTTTTTTTTGCTCTGGGTTGTCAAGAATCTCTTCATTGTCTTACTTGTTTTCAAGGGAACAGTAGGACTCAAGGATGGTGGGTTGCTAACTAATTGTTCTCCCCACTCCTCACAGATACTTCTTGTGCCTGCAGCTGAGGCAGGACATTGCCTCTGGCCGCCTGCCCTGCTCTTTTGTGACTCATGCCCTCCTGGGGTCCTACACCCTGCAGGCTGAACTTGGGGACTATGACCCAGAAGACCCTGGCCATGATGACCTCAGTAATTTCCAGTTTGCTCCAACGCAGACGAAGGAGCTGGAAGAGAAAGTGGCAGAGCTGCATAAAATCCACAGGTCTGTTGATGCACTTACTGGAAAATTTAAGTGGGGTGCTCTTTTTTTTTTTTTAAATCATTTTATTGGGGGCTCATACAACTCTTACCACAATCCATGTATACATCCATTGTCAAGCACATTTGTGCATTTGTTGCCATCATTCTCAAAACATTTTTCTTTCTACTTGAGCCCTTGGTGTCAGCTCCTCATCCTCCCCCCCCAATGAACCCTTGATAATTTATAGTTATTATTTTGTCATATCTTGCCCTGTGCGATGTCTCCTTTCACCTACTTTTCTGTTGTCCGTCCCCCAGGGAGGAGGTCACATCCTTGTAATCAGTTCCCCCTTTCTACCCCACCTTAGCACCACCCTCCCAGTATCACCACTCTTACCACTGGTCCTGAGGGGTTCATCTATCATGGATTCCCTGTGTTTTCAGTTCCTATCTGTACCAGATTTGTAAGGTAGAATTGGGATCATGATAGTGGTGGGGGAGAAGCATTTAAGAACTAGAGGAAAGTTGTATTTTTCATCTTTGCTACACTGCACCCTGACTGGCTCGTCTCCTCCCTGGGACCCTTCTGTAAGGGGATGTCCAGTTGTCTACAGATGGGCTTTGGGTCTCCACTCTGCACTCTTCCTCATTCACACTGATAGGATTTTTTGTTCTGTGATGCCTGATAACCTGATTCCATTGACACCTTGTGATCACACTGGCTGGTGTGCTTCTTCCATGTGGGCTGTATTGCTTCTCAGTTAGATGGTCCCTTGTTTATCTTCAAGCCTTTAATACCCCAGGCGCTATATCTTTTGATAGCCGGGCACCATCAGCTTTCTTCACCGCATTTGCTGATGCACCAATTTTGTCTTCAGTGATTGTGTCAGGGAAGGTGAGCATCACAGAATGCTGGGTTATTAAAACAATGTGTTCTTGCATTGAGGGAGTACTTGAGTAGAGGTCCAATGTTCATCTGCTACCTTAATACTAAAACTATAAATACATGCACATAGATCTATTTCCCCATCGTCATATATAAATATATTTACATATGTACATGTCTTTATCTAGACTTCTACAAATGCACCTTTGCCTCCTAGTCTTTTCTCTATTTCCTTTTACTTTTTTGTTATCCCACTATCATGCTCAGCCTTCATTTGGGTTTCAGTAATTCCTCTCGGTTACATTACCCTCGATCAAGTCCTAACAGGCCTCATATACCCTCCTCACCATTGATTTTGGATCACTTGTTGTTCCCTTATACCTGGGTTTATTAACACCACTTCTTTCCACCACCTCCCCCTTCTCCCATGTCCCCCCAGAACCGTCAGTCCGTTGTTTTCTCCTCCAGACTGTTTATCCTGACTATATTATTTAGATAGACCCACAGAGATAATAATATGCACAAAAAGCCAAAGCAACAAAAGAAGACAACAACAACAACAACAACAACAAAAAACCAATGACAAAAATACCAAAAGCCTATAAATAGTTCAAGGTCTGTTTGTTGACCTTTAGGAGTGTTTTCCAGTTGAGTTTGATGGGGCGCCACACCCTGGCCCCAAAGTCTGTTTTTGGTATTCCCTCTGGACTTCTTTGCTCTGCTCTCCCTGCTGTTCTGTTGCACGCCCTTAGTGTTTTGCCTTGGTGTGGTGGGATCAGATTGGGTGCAAGTCCCACACTGTCTCCCCAGTGTTGTCTCCCATATGGCTATGGGTCAGTGAGGGATATTGTGTCTCATAGTGGGACTGGCAATATGGTCTTCTCTGTGCATTGGCTGCTCATCCTCAAGGCTTGGTTGGCCAGGATGTGCACCACTCTCTCTTCCTTCCCCTTCATTTTCTCCTGTGTTCTCTGATCAGACATGTCCCTCTCCCTGAGCTGTAGCTTCAGTGCTGTC